GTATATTTACAATTCAGTAGGCCTATTTTTTGTAAATGGTCAGTCTAGCCATCATATTAAGAATAAGTACGGCTAGACTGTGAGTCTAGCCGTACTTAAGTATTATTTTGAGGAGATTGATTTCCCAATTTCCCACCTTCCACAGGCTTGAAGAACTGGTCATGGATAAGCTACAGCAGCTCTCGAACTTCCCTCAAAGCACACACCTGGCCCGGTCTGCACTTCTGGACATCTCTCACCCGGTCTACCCGCCAACTGGCAGTGACGTCAGCAGACAGCCAGTCCTGGAGACGAGAGAGTGCCTTCAGCGCATGTGGAGTAAGCACAGACGTTTTAACTATAACATATGCACAAAAATAAATAATTATTTTATTGATTCCAGAAGGGCAATTTGGTTTACGGTGCAAATATACATGCGTACATTAACACAAAATTATAAATACACACATACAAAAATACATACACGACATAATAATATAGGCTACATACATACACAATATTACATGAATACAGAACAATTTCACAACCATGCCATTGCTGGTCGCCACTGTGCAGCGCCTTGTTACTTGTTATATCACTACTATAGTGCGGTCAACAATTTGGTAGTTCAACTTATTGTCAAATATTTCCTCAATTATCGAATATCAATTTTCCAGCTTTTGCACAATGACTTATATCAGTTTGTCTTATCAGATCATCATTTTTATTAGCACCTGTTAGCTGTAGTGTAGAACATGTTTTAAAGATAGATACTTAAAAATCCCGGTGGGTAGTTTCAAAAGATTTTAACATGTTTAGAGCTGGGACTATATTATACGTTTTTAAAGTAAGTCCGTCATAGTTTTCAAATTTCGACGCTATGTTTATTGACCGCACTTTTACTGCAAAAAATGTGTTCACTCTAAGTGTGTGTGTGTGCCTGGAGATAGGTCCCAGTTGTTGGCAAAGCTATTTTTTTAGCAACGTGGCGAAAAGGCGTAAAATGTCGTACGTGGTCAAAAATTTAGTTCCATTAGATTTCACACGTTCAACCATTTATTCTGAATAATATATTACAAGGATTTTAAAATATTTTAAGTCTAATTTTTACTTAATAATTTTTGCAACACGTTGTATTACTCCAAAAGTTACAAATGTGCTAGAAGATTGGTTTTTCTCCAAACTTTGCCTTTACACCATGTGCTACGAAGTATGGTATATCTTTAATTCTTTTCGAAATATTTGATAAATTTAAAAATCAGCTTGTTGAGCATGGAATTCGTAACGAGAATATGCCCTTGTTTTAATATTCAAAATTTTCGACAACTGGGACCTACCACCAAGTACACACATAATTTCTTGTAACAAGTTTTGCCATAGTAAAAAGTGTCTTTGGTGAGTTGTGATGCAGGCCATAAGCAAAATGTGTGTGAGAAGCGGGAATTGCTGCGAACAATCCCATTTTCCGCGTGACAGTGATTTGTAGTATTTTGTATAAATTTATGAAGAAAAGCTGTTTAAAAAAAATCTAGCCTCAATTGTTTTGGAAGATTAGGATACAGTTAAGACAAATTGATACAAACTGTTTTGCAAAGAATGGGTGACATTGATGCACTGGTTAAAGATGTATATGAGGATACGTTGCGCCACGAATTTTTGACCACACTATAAGCTTTTCTCACTCACCCTGCACCAGGGTATTGGCCACGAACAACAAACACCTTCTTCCTTTTCCTGGCTTGGGTTATCCTCTTGATAATTATCACTTGCTCGTTGTCTTCCCAGTATTCTCTGCTTTATTCTTTGTGACTCTACTTTTGGTGGTAACAGACACAGTTCATGAAAACAAAGAATCAAACAAACAGACAAACAAAAATACAAACAAATAAACTAACACAGAAGCAAACACCCCCTCCACCCAAAAAAAACCCCAAACCCACCAAGAAAAAAACAACAGTTCTACAGCTGCTCTGTTACTGCTATTATCTGGTATAACAATATAATATTTAAATCCAAAGTTTTTGACCCTTTTTTCGTACGAAAGGTCACCGACTTTGAAACCCATGTGTAAAAATCCAAATTCTCTCACACCTATAAGCAGATCAACAATACATCAAATTTGACTGAAAGAAAGAAACTAAACAAGTCTTGTAGAACCCCACCCTACAACACCCCCCCGACCTTTAACAGAACTGCTTACAGAAAGCCACACACTTTTCAGCAAGCACATAATATTAAAATACAAAGAATAATAATATTATTATAATTGCTCACCGCATCACTCAGCTATATACAGTCATAACATAAATCTACAAAATCTCAGTTAACCCATCTTATCCATATCAAACTGTTCGAAGTCTGGTGTCTACATTTTTTATCACTAGTAGGTTAAATAGGAGCGGGGTTATAATATGTGGGGCAGCGTGGTGGAATCAGGCTCTCGTCAAAATAATCAAAATGAAGAAACTTGCATTTTTCCGCAGGTTTGTGAATTTGTATCGAATTTTTTTTTTTTTTTTTTTTT